AAAGGTTGCATATGATCTGATGATCCAAGAAATAATTATTTATTCTATATACAGTTTTCAATTTAGTATATTAAGATTATGGGTGTTATACGGGTCAAGTACGTAGCTTATAGTTGAGCTTGTGCTTGTTTAGTAAATGAGTTAGCTCGGTTCAATTCATTTTAAGTTCGGAAAAGCTTCATTCGGCTCGACGCGTTTAATAAACCTAAAACTTTAAACCTTAAACGAGTTGTTCACAAATAAATCGGCTTGAATTTTCACTAATTGAATCGAATAATATTTGCAAACAATTCAGCTCTAATTGAGACAAATATATTAGAAAAAATGATGGTGGAGGTGAAAGGAAGGAGATCATATATCTATGTTGACTGGCCAAATTATGCTTTATGCAAAAATAATTACTTTTCCCAAAGTATAAAGATTTCTCACTTTTGGCTTTGAGAAGATTTGGTACATAAAGTTACCCGATTGCTATTCCGCAGAAAGTTTATGGGAAAAAAAAAATAAAAAAATAAAAGAAAAAAATGAACTTTCTGACATTTTGTAATCATGTATACATTGTTCGTGAAGTAAAATCCTGAGTGCCACTATGATTCTTATAAAAAAAAAATATGTTAACAATCACATTAACCAATAATAATAATAATAATAATAATAAAAACTATGGTGATGTATATTTCATTATACTCAGCATTATTAATAAATTTCATTATGCATAAGAATTCAATAAAATAAATTTCATTTTCAATAACATTATAATTTATAAATTATCTCATAAGGTTCTCTGTCAGATCGACACACACAGCATATGTGTGTGCATATGTTCGGATGGACTGCCCACATCGGTAAATTCAAGTCTTAAATAAAAAATTACTCGTTATATTTCTTTTTCTTATATATATGTTTGTTTTGAATGTCCGAGAGGGATTTTGCCTTTTCTCATTTGAAAAATTGTCAATCATAAAACATTCCTATAAACAGCTGAAGGCTGCTAACTAATTGCAGTAGTTATTTATGATTGATTGCTAATCCATCTCACAAAGTTGATAAAAATATGTTCTTCCAAACACTTGAAAATATGCATCTTCTTAAGTTCAATAAAACACACACAAAGATAAAAGCTAAAAGCTAAGAATACTACTAATTGCTACTAAAAGGTCATACATGATAAACAAAAGTTAAATAAAAATAAGAACAAAATATATATGTATATGTGTATATATATATTTCCATAAGCTCCTCAATTCCACAACCTGGCACTCCCTTCTATAAAATATAGAAAAGAATATGAAACATTTAATTCAGAAGAAAGTAATGACTCAAAACAATAATGAATGCAAAAACAGAAAGAAAAATAGATACATGTGAAAATGGAAAATGAAGTTTATTTAGCAAGAGGAGGATGGGGGCAAATCTCATGATTGTTGAGTTCAAAATATTCAAAAGAGCAATAATAGATAAACAAAATTGTGGATGGCTGAGCAAATTTTGCAAGTTAAAGCAAAAATGCTGAATTCTATGCAACAATCAATACCACTTTCAATCAACCCCTCAAAAGAAGAAAAAAAGAAAGAAAAAAAAAAAAAGTATTTCCAATTTTTCATCATTATATTAGACACTGCCCTTCACACATATTTGGTGGGTCTTGTTTCTGTCCCCTTCTTCATCTCCTTATATTGGTGAAACTTCTCTTTCCTTTAACAATAATATGCTGAACCCAATGATTGATATCATTTTACCCTCCATTTTTTACTTTCTTCAGTGTTTGTGCAAATGAAAAGAAGAAAAAGACATACAGACACCCCTTTCCAGGTCTAAAAAACAGAAAAACCTACGAAATAATTAGTTATACCTTGCGCAATTTTGATATAATCTACAATTTGTGTATCATTTCAATATGCGCATTTTCCACAGCACAAGTTAGAAAGCAGCANACATTAGAAACAGAAATTGGTGTGTAGAGCCTAACTGAACTGCTTTCAATCGATGCATAAATTTCTTTGGTTTAGCTTGTCTGCAATCTCTCACAAGCCCAGCTGCAAAATGTTTCAACAAAAATGCAAAATATATAGTAAACTGGAAATAGGAAATTTGATCTTTCTCCTCAGTTTTTTTAGACAAGGCTAGAATGCAGTACAGAATTTTGCAAATCATGCGTTTGCAAAATATTTCATGCAGTACAATAATCAAAATTCAAATGCATGATTCAGCCACCATGATTTTAGCACCAGATCAATCAAAGACAGATATAAGGTCCGCATATGAACTCTCAACCCGACTTGACATTTAAACATATACTAAGAAACAACTATCAGGAAGCATGTTCATAAAGGTTAACTTCTAAGCTTATGATCTGAAAAATCGAGAAACTACTTATCATATCATGAAATGATAATATTTCCAGTTATAGATTCTCTGAGAGTTCCATAATTGAAAATCGAGAAACTTTGACCAAATATTGCTTAGACTGTTGCAATTAAATAAAATCACTAAGACGTGTGTAGCTGAAGGAAGGAAAGGGCGAACATTCAGAATAGCATGCGTGCGATAATGCATCTCCACCTGCAACAATAGGGTTAACATAATAATTTTTAGCGCATATGAAATATGTTACAAAACAAAGATTAGTTGTCACTTATGGTAAGTGGTAAAAAAAAAAAACAACAAAAGTTGACTTCTAATGAGTTTTCTTTTCGAATAGAAGTAATATGCCTGTCTCAAAAAGTTAATATCATCACGAATAGTTTCGACAGTTATGGGATTTCCAGTTCTCTAACATCTCATATGAATAAACCAAGAGCCATTTGAATGAGTTTAATCTTATCTCAGTGCTGAAATGTAAAAGAAAACTATTAAGCAAAAAAATCACTGAAATTAATTTAATCTACTTTCATTGAGAATGACCTCACAAGTAATAGGAAACAAGTGTCAGCATGCACATAAAAACAAGGGTCGGGAAGGTTAAAAATGGAGAGGTGGCCAGGTGGCAGTATGACAGAATTTAGTCGTTTATAATTCCTAGCGACAAAAAGAGAAAAGCGAGTTTGACCTTCCAGAAAAATGGTAAAAATAAATCTTAGAAGCTGTTTTGCGCAAAAATCGAAGAAAGTAATAGGGGTCGTCACAAATCTGCAATAGAGGGGGAAGTGGAAAGTTAGGCCAAGTGTAATTCCATTAATGAAAATATTAACCATATAACATTGGCAAATTGGTAATCACCACGTTAAGGTATCATATGTGTGAATTTTATTCATATTACATATATTATCTTAATTAAAACCACCCGATATTATCTTAATTAGAACCACATGATCTCTATAAAAGTGAATAAACTACTATTTCAGAAAAGAATCCCTTATTTCCATAAAAGGCGACCAAATATAAGGGCCAGAGATTTAAAATTTGAAACAGCAATTATGATCAATTTCTTCTTTTATTTACTTGGTTTTAAGGGGAAAACTTGTTCCTTACATAATTAACTGTAAAAATGAAGTGTATTCCGTTGTATACAAGAATGAAAATATTACCGTTGTTAACCTTTTATATACCAACCAAAATGCGTTCATTTGCCAATTGAGGCAATACGCCCGAAAACTCCAAAAGTTGTCTTCTTCAGAGTATCCTGACAACAAAAAAAATACAAAGCACATAACTATATTAACCAAAGGAATCTAAATCCATAAAAATTTTAAGTTGATCAATTGCACATGCGCAAATCTCTAGTAATGGATTTGACCGTGTTTAGACAAGGTGGAAAAATCCATGTTTACCACTAACAGTTTCTCCACAAAAGTACTAAACTTGTCATCTAGCATGGGAGTCTCACGTGGAAACACAATTATTTTGACGACGAAATAGCACACGACACGGCTGAAATTCCTAATTTGAAAAGTAAGTGTTCATTAGCTTGCCCTAGATAAAATAGCAGCCCAGAATTTGCAACACAATTGAAGTAGCAACTATCTTTGCTTGTAATATATTTCATTTAGTTGTGCCTCCAGGAGCAACTTTGATGAATATCTATTATGATAGCAAACATAAATATTCTTGGACAAGAAGCAATAGAATTAGCACTTGATGCATAAATATATGAAATCAATTTCGCTGATATTTCTTACTGAGCTGGATTAGTATGAAATCAAAATACGATGGCGGGGCCAAGCTAACATGGAACCTAGGAATGTGACCAAGAAAATGCATGCAACTCAATACTATATCAACAAGTGGCAATAATGGTCAAAGATCGGGGAACAAATGGCAATTTTCTCAAGACAACACTTGCCCTAGATATCACATAGCTTTCACATGATAGAACCGCAATGGAAAGACTTTGCTTGGTAGAAATTGAGTTCAATGTTATATCCTTATACAACATAAGTATACTAACGAAACTCCCATCATGATATTTTTTTGGATCCATATTTCAGTTGAATTTTTTTGTGAAATAGAATGTCGTTCGGAGGCTAAAATGTAAGTATCCCATTCATTATACACAAATTGCACGTAACTGCATTTGTAAAGATCAAAGGGGTGAAATGCCAAAAGGGGCAACCAAACTTCAATATCCCTGGGTAATTAGATGGTTTTCTCTTTTACACATATACCTGATGATATGATCATGATAGAATATTTAGCCAGCTACGTCAATTGTGAGTAGTACAGGAAATCTTAAGCAAATGACGGGAAGTAATAACGTGAACTCCTAAACTAGGTCTTTAAATAACTAATATAACATAAAGAAAATTTTTGCTTCATTGAAATACGAATTTAGCGTAAGGGGGAGAAATCTGAAGTTCCCATTGTATAAATTACTTTTAATTATGTATAATGTGGCTGAATCTTTTCAAGGTTCTGAAAACTACACTGGTTATTGGCCGGCGGTTCTGAGGGGTGAACCAGGCACCGGACTGGCCGGTTCTCAGAACAGTATCTTGTGTCGTGTCATTAGACTGCATCACCAGATGATAATTATTTAACTACTCCTAATTACAATAATGCCTGTGTTAGAAATCCTAATCAAAACAAAGCCAAGGATGATAGGCTTAAGAAAGTCTCCAAACAGTAGCGCTTAACCTCAGTTAAAAGCCTGGTAGGATAATTAAACAGAACAAGGATTTTTTATACATTATAATAAAAAGCATATTCGGGAAAAATTCTAAGTAGATTTAAAATTTTCAAGTACCAAAACATGAACATTTAGTCTTCCAATTTGCTCCAATTCTTCTAACTGATGTACCATATAAACTGATGTACCATATAAACCAATTCATTACCGTCTTCTCAGAGAAAAGATATAAATCCCTGTTGTCCAATGAAATAACAGAAAATAGTTCTCTCTAGCCTCTTCAGAACAGTTCGTTACCATAATCTGGAATTAGCATCGCCTGTAAGCACCAAAAATTTCACTCATTTATATCATTGAAACAAGGCTAATAAATTCAAAAGCATCTGTTAAAGCAATTATTTCCATTTGGGAAGTTCTCAGGCTACAATGATTAACAGAAAGAAGAATAAATAGACAAGGCAGAACTTACGAAACTAAAATCTCATTTATGATTTAGACAAAATTGAACTTGGAAAATCTTTCCGAAAAAACATTTAAAGTTCTACAAAGTCCCTTCATACAAAGATAACTGAAAAAAGCATGGTCATCTTTAGATGCAATTTCATGTCTTGGTTTACAAAAGGTATTCATGTTTTTGCACCACACAATTGACCAGGCGAGTCTCAACTGCGCAATTTTAGATAGGACTTTTACTATCCAAGTGGATACATATGATGGAAGGGAGTGTGGACGAATATGAAAAATTGAAACATAATTCCTTAAGGATCTATCATTTAGACTCTAGAATCTAAAGAAAATAGAAGAAAAGCTTTAGCAAGAAACTGCAATAGTAATCTAGATAACTAGCTTCTCTGTCATTTTGATGATGAGAAGTGAAACTTCCAAGAAGTTGTCAGAAGACAAGATATATAATAGGTAGCCACTGTGCAAAATTATGAAGAATGTAAAACCACATTCTTCACCATCATACTTCAGATAATGGTGGTGGTGCACAATTTAGGAATTGATAGGCTGCGAAACTTTGTGAAATAAAGATACACACATGGATGAGCAGCTCCAAGGCATTGGTTTTAGATTTATGGAAATTCTAAAGTTATCATCACCAAGCCAGGATAGTTGCACCAAATGTTTTATACATAGTTCGACTTCACGCATATGATTTAATGGTAGAAATGACACGAGGAGAAGAATTCTATTTGGGGGGCCATTGAATTAAAACAAGTTGTTGACAGAATTTGATCTGCTCGTGAATTTAGGTTATTTGAACAGAAAAAAAGATCTTAAAGCATTGACTGAAAAAGACAACTGCTGTCTGGACTCTGGAGAGTGTTAAATGTTATCAAAGAGAAATCAAATATGGGGCCTTGTAAGCTTTGAAAATATGGAGCTCTGTAAATAGGTAACGAAGAAAAGTTGATGAAGGGAGTCATTCTGGTAGCAAAAGTCTTTGCTCCAGATATATAGAGCTGTAGATTAGATATCGATTCTAACTCTGTTACATTGATACATTAGTTTTCACTTTTCAGTACAACTGGTGTTTGCAAATGCTAACATATGTGGAAGTTCTGATTCAACCAAAAATTAAAGCTGAAGCGTAAAGGCAGAATGTAGAGGAAATCTCACTCGTGCATTTTCTAGAATCAGCAATTTTAGATCTATTGTAAAACTCTAATTCAGAATTTCCCTACTTTAAAACTAGTATGCCTCGATGCATCTTACATTTGACGAGGAGAATGTTATGAGCCAGATAAGCATATGACTTCCTGCCGTAAATAAATAAAGTAAAATTCAAGGAGTAGGTCCCACGAAAGAACAACACCTTTTGCTCAGTCACCAAGTTCTGTATCTGAGTCTCCTTTATCAAACCAGGGAATTATTCTTTGACCATGCTCTGGGAAGGATATAACAACTTTTGGGGAGGCTTTAGGAAGTGATATGAGCTTGCTGAAACTCATCCGCCTCCTCTCTCCATTCCTGTGCATGATTTCCATTTTTTCAAGTGCTTTCCCATTCCGGAGAAAAAACGTCACCAGCTCAAGTGCAATCTCTGAACCATCTAAATTCGAAACTTGAATGATTTTGACACTGTCAGTCAAGCAAGCTATATCCGCAACCCTTGATTCCCAAGATCCTTTGTTCTCAACTGCTAAATGAGTTTTGAGAAACGGCGTATAATTAGATGTGCATTTCATTTTGGGAGAACAAAAAAATGAAATTTAAAAAAAATAAAAAAATATATAAGTATCCTCCATGCCAGTATGAGACATAAATCATGGAAGTGCTTGAATCAAGTAAAACCTGATCCTAGAGATTATGATACCTTTCTTTAAATTGCCCTGCGACCTTCTACCCTGAAATATAAATAGTCGTAATGGGCATTGCATTTCATAGAACATTTTCACTAAGAACATTTGGGTGAAATAGACTTATACCTCCTTCAGTCTGATGAAAAGAGATTGAATGTTTGGCGAAAACCTCAACAAGCTAATCATCCCTTCTATAAAACTGGCGTCGTACCTCGATTCCAACTCTAGATGACTCACGTTGTCCAATACAAATGGGTCCCAGGAATCACTAAATTTTGGACAGAAGTACTAGAGATAAATGAACAAGAAATCCATAAGTAGGGAATAATTTGATAAAGTACCTTGCAAATTATGAAGTAAATGTGATATGCTTGCGTACAGGCATCCATAACTTGACAAGAACACAAGACTGTGATGGCAATGTTTGATAAATGATATATCAGGCACATCTTTTCTTTATTCAGGATTGCTACATCACTGTATGGAAAGCATCTGAAAGCCATCCGGCATACCTTGACAACAAGAGAGGACACCGTCAAAGTCTTTGCAAAATTAAGACCAACAAAGTTTGCAGGAGAAAGCAAGTGGTTCTCAAAGCTAATGTTGTACTCCTCAGGCACACGTAGAAGGCGGATCGTGATGTTCTCCAAACACTCTGTATCCACCAATGAGACACCTAGGAGCATCGGACCTATGTAGCAGAAGGACACCAAGCTTGGAGATGAAATTCTAAGCTTACAATCGAAAGAACACACGACCCAAAAATTCTTGCAAGTGCACACGTTCACAATTGTTACACTCTTGAGATTAGCAGCTGATATATCAATCTCCTCTACATCCTTTATCTGGCAATCCTCGAGGTACACCTCCTCGAGCTTAACGCATCCACCTGAGAACAACTTTTTGGCAGCATCACAAGTTATGCAAACTCCCCTCAGTGAAAGACTCGCGATGCTACTGAAAACGGCTACAACACGCAAAGTAATAGTATGTAGGAAATGCAATTTTAGAAATGTCAATGATTCGCAAGCCCCACGTGGGAATTCAAGCTCGTCAGACGAGTAATCCCCACCGACAAGGATGAGCTCTGGAACTTTTTCCCTCCCGGCCACACAAATCAGCAGATTCAGTTGCTGGATCATGGTGTTGCTACAGCTGAGTTGTATCTTGTTGATTGTCGAGTTATCACGCAGGAGCAAAGACGATTTAACGAAATCCCAGAATTTGCCATACTGGTCCCTGCGTTTGTCCAACTTCACGTCGAGGTGCTTCAAATGCCAGTCCATGTCGAAGTTTAGGCAAGGGACCGATTTCCAGATGGACTTCCATCGTTTGGAGAGCACGCTTGTGCGGACAACGTCAAGGAAATCGAGAAAGGAAAACACGCGTTGCAGGATATCATCCGGCAACACACTCAACCGATCGGCATTATTCTTTCTTGGACGGGGGGTTCTCAATTTCTTGCATGAAGGAGGTGTTTTCATGATGCCCTCAAATTCAAACAACCCAAAAAGGGGGATCCACCAAAATCACACGATTAAACTAATCTGCAACAGACGTACAAAGAGAACAACCAAATTCATATCAACCCATGAAACTTAATTCCATAAAAAGCATGGGAAAACCACAGAAACAAAATTTGAAGCTTCGCTGCGACAAATTTACTTGATTCTTTCCGTTAATCTTTTCCTTGTGTCTATGAACTGTGAACAAAAACAGAGATTTTGCTATAACATATCTTCTGAAACGAAATCAGTAACAAATCAGCTCGAACAGCCAGAAAATCAACAACAAAAAAGGATCAGATTAAGTGTTGAGAAAAGGCTTACGAAGGCGGCAGCAATTGCGAGCAGAACCCTGCTTCTGTGTGGGGCACAATCGACTGATTTTGCTGTTGAAGGCCATTGAAATGGATTTTTGGAATTTGAAAGAAAGATGAAATGTGATTTTGTATGTTGCTAATATAAAAAGGAGGTTATTGAAAAAATGCCAATGAAATGCATGAATAATAATTTTGACTTTTTAATTAATTGTTTAACTTAGTTTTTACAAATACATGAGATTATGAGAAAAAAAATGAGCAAATCAATTTCATATATGTCTTTAGGAAATAACAGTGCATATTTTAAAAATGAATGTTACCTTATCATTTTTCTTTTTCTTAACCACTTTACCCATCATTTGGTGAATAAATTTTAAATTAATTTTTTTATAAAATTATCGATACATCTTTTTTAATGATTTGTTGAACAATCTCATTTTTTAAACAATTTTGGCAAAATCCGATTCTCACTATACTTTCAAAACAATATACTTATCTATTACATAGAAAACTCGAGTTCATAATGAGATTAGATTTTTGGTGAATAATTCCGATAAGATTTATTTGGTAAAAAGGCGTGAATATACCATGATAATTTGTATTTGGTAATTTAGGAGCAAATATTTTTTGTCCAAAAAATATTTAACAAAATTTGTAATTTAGAAGTAAATATTTTATTTTGAAACATCCATAACATATTTTTATGGCATTCAATTTAGGCAAATAGAATATCTAATTTTGAGTAAGAATAATTTAAATTCAAATAACACATCAATACAGTCTAAACTGAAAATGTACAACAATATCAAAAATAATTTGATACGGAAACACATCAATAAAACCAAAATATAGAAAATTTGATCTTTATTTTACATGACAATATATAATTCTAATATTCGCCATAAGTTAATGCGAATATGTAAAAATATTGTTAAATATACTTATCTATTATTTAATGAGGAATTTTAATTTATAAATATTAATTAATATTTTCTACCCGTGCATGTGTTAGCATAATACAATTGCGTGTGTGAATAATGCTTCCTTACCAAGTCACTTAATAAAGTTTATTGACAAAGTGAATTGTAAGAATAGGATTAAATATAAATTAGTGGCTAAGATTTAAAAATTTGTGTTGACCCTAATTTTATTTTCCTGACTAATATGTGAGTTCCTCACGGGGCGGCAACACATCCTAAGTTCATGATCAATATTAGTGCCATATTTTTTCAAGCAGATATTTAAAATAAATATTGTATATAAGTCTTCTTCATCTCTTTTTTTGTTCCTGTTATCAACAATGGAAGATAAAAATTTTGTCCCTACATATTCAGGTAACTCTTATTTAATTTATTTTTATTTTTAATTGTATTTTGTTGACAAATCCAAAATTGTATTAGAAATTTATTTATAAGTAATGAGTGAATTTGTCCCAGTTGGTAAAGAGCTTCAAAACTCGAAACTGTTCAGTTTTCGGCAGTTGGTACCCAGACAAGAGTAAGTAATGAGAGGAAGTAATGCGCGCCCCTTCGTCTTTTCCTGTTATTATGCGAAGTAAGCCTCTCTGTTGCAGAGTCACAGCTCGAGAATTTCGATTATCTAGTTAATCGGGGCATAAGCATAAGAAAGAGTCTTCGGTCTTACTCCTCTCTTTTTCTTCACTTCGCTTCGAAAAGTTCGTTGGGAGAAAAGATGCTCACTATTTGGCTTCTATAAGTGGCGCTTTCGATTGACTGCCTTCTTTCTCACTACTTCACGTTAGTGTGCAATTAAATCGACTCTAAAAATCTTTTGTGGTCTTGTCAGAGCCTTGCCGATTGCCCGTCCTTTTCAACTGATTCATATTCATAGGAGAGTTTAGCATCTTTATTTAGGCGTGGAAGTTGGAGCACTTAGAGATCTAGTTACTTTTGAGTCCCAATCTCTTCCATATCAGTGGTAGTATATGTCCCAGAATTAGGAATAGCTGTAGAAGTCCCAAAGAATGTACCAGCTTTCGTTTTAGTAATGGTATACCCAGTAGCTCTATCCATAGCTTCGTAGGGGACGGGGATGCAAGTTTCCATACAGAGAAGAAGCAGTTGTAAGGAAAAGAAATGAGTTTTCCCCTAGAACGAAATTCGAATCTCACCAGTCCTAGTTCGCAGCGATATTGTATATCACTAGGAGAACCGAGCATGGATGACGTTTTGATTGTGAACTAAGAAAACGAAAATTTTGAGGGAAGTGCAAATGTCAGGGATAATAAAAATGAATGGATGGGATAATAAAACTGGAATGGATGATTCCTTAATCATTCCTAAGGTTGGAATGCAGTTTCCTATGAAAAGGAAGTTTATGACTTTTATATGCGATACGCGTATGCTATGAGTTTTCCTTTGAGAAAAAGAAGTTCGGGGAGGGATGATGATGGAGTTCTACGATATGTCACACGTGTAGTCGCGAAGGACTACAGGAACTTCAGTGAAGTCGCAACCCATAAATAATACAGGGGGGTGTAAAGCTAGAATATCCGCATCATTGGACATACATGGTTCCTGGAAAATTAATAATGTCCATCTTGACCACAGTCACAAGAACAGTCCCACTAAGTCAAGGTTGTATCGATGCCATCATGTGTTAAGTTCACTTGTCAAACGGAAGCACAAAGTGAATGACATAGCAGGAATACTATTACATAAAAGTTTTAACTCTGTAGTTGTTGACTATGAGAATATAACTTTTGTGGAGAAGGATTGTCGTAACTACGTTGAACAGGCGAAACGCCTAAGACTTGGCGAAGGAGATGCAGCCGCAATACAATCTTACTTTTCTGATATGCAAGTTCAATGCCCAGGTTTCTACTTTAGTATTGACTTGGATGAGGATTCTCGATTGGAGAATGTTTTCTGGACGGACAACAGGTCTAGAAAGCATATAAACAGTTTGGAGATATCATCACATTGAACACAACATATCTTACTAATACATATGACATGCCTTTTGCCCCTTTTGTTGACGTGAATCATCATGACCAATCAATATTGTTAGGTTGTGGTTTGGTATTGAATGAGGACACTGATACATTTGTGTGGCTATTCAGAACATGGCTTAAGTGCATGCATGGTCAAGCTCCTAATGGAATAATTACCGATCAAGATAAAGCCATGCAAAAATGCAATTGAAATAGTTTTTCCAAATACGAGACATAGATGGTGTTTGTGGGATATTTTAAAGAAGTTACTCGAAAAATTCGAATATCATATTGAGAAAGACGCAATATTTTCAGCCATTCATGTACTAGTTTATAATTCACAAACAACAGAAGAATTTCAGGAAGGTTGGATAATAATGATTGAAAAATATGACTCATTTGAGAATGATTGGTTATCCGGATTGTTCGATAATCGCATTTGATGGGTGCCTATTACTTAAAATCCTATTTTGGGCAGGAATATACACAACTCAAAAAAGTGAAAGTATGAATGCCTTCTTTGATGGTTATGTACATTCAAAGACATCGTTGAACAATACGAACGGGCATTGCAAAATAAGGTCGATAAAAAAATTCAAGCAGATTACAAATCATTCTCTCAAGTCATACCATGCGTGACGAGATATGAAATGGAAAGGCAATATCAATCATTATATACAATTCCAAAGTTTAGAGAAGTTCAAACTGAATTTATGAGAAAAGTTTATTGTGAACTAATATTTGCAGGCATATGGGGACGAGGTATGAGGTATGTGAAGACGTAATGTGTGGAGATTGAAGGAAGAAGAAAATATTTGCTGCATAGTTTAACAAAGAGATATATGAAGTGCCATTTAGTTGCCTTTTATTCGAGTTTTGAGGAATATTATGCAGACATGCAATCTCAGTTATGATAGTAATGACGTTGTTGTGGTGCCAGATCGATATATATTGGGACGATGGAGAAAAGATATTAACCGCGCACACACGAGGGTAGGCGTTAGCTATGATGGTTTGGATATTACTCAATCCCAAAAAAGGTGTGATGACATGTGTCGGTCATTCGCAGAAGTGGCAGACCTTGTTGCGGATGAAGAAGAGAAATGTGTTATCATCCGTCAAGCAAAAGAAATTGAGAATATAAAGCATCCAAAAGCATCAAAGAGAAAAGGTGCATTTTAACTTTATGCTGATTGCATAAAATATTTTGATAAAATAACTCTTTTTTTTATTTTTTATTTTTTGTCCAGGTGCGCTTAAAGAAAGTAAACGTAAATGATCCACACCACGCCTGATAGCGTCATAAATGTTGCGCTTGAACTTTTTCCAACTAAATAAAGTTTATTTCCATAAGGTTCATAGGTTGGTTACATTGTTTTTCAATGAAAAGACAAATATATTATTTAAAAATATATTTAAAAGATTAAGAATTTTTAAATTTATTATAAAATTTTTATATACTATAAATCAAATTAATAATCACATGAAAAACTTCGATTTAACATCTATATTGTACATACAAAATAAATAAATTATTACATTTTTTATAATAACAATTAAATAATCTTATTTTAAATTAAATAACATTATTTTAAATTAAATAATATTAAAATTATTTAAATTAAATAATATTTTTTAAATTAATAAATAAAATTATTTAAATTAATATTTTATAGATTAAATAATATTATTTTAAATTAAATAAAATTATTTNGTAAAGGTCATTTGAGACCAAAGATAAATGTATCACCCCACCAATAGTCGGAATTTTTTTATCCGCCAACAAGGATACACGCGTGCGTCAACTCATGAAATCATCTGTATCCGTATCTCAATCCTATTTAATAAACGAGGAATAAGGATGATTAACCAGCATATCCCATCCTATCCAGAAAAGCAAACGAGGCCCAAATTGATTTGGTCAATAATTGCAGCTGACTATATATTGTTTCAATTATGTGTGATTGTATGTGATGAGAAATGCTCCTCTACTCACGGTGGACACATATTAATATGTTCACCGCTTATGCGGCATGCACACATTGGTGATGTATTTTTTTTTAATATATTAACATCACCAATGTGTGCATGCCACATAAGCAATGGACATATTAACATGTGCCCACCATGAGTACGGAAACATTTCTGTGTATGTGATATCAAACCGAAAAGTAAATAAGTAAAGATTGTACGCATGTCTAATATGATAGAATGAGATTCCATCCTCAAAGCCTGCAAAGAGAACCCTAGACAAAAACCCCGAACACAAAGACATACTATATTACCAAGAAAGCAGTTAAAACCTAACAAGGAAAACTACACACCAACCGACGGAAACAAAGACCCCCTAACGGCAACAGAATAGCAAGCAGCTCCTATTGAAGAGAATCGACCACCCATGAGAGATTTTTTCTTTTTTCCTTTTTTTGTTTAGGGAGAATTTTTTTACAAAATATAAATGATAAAAAAAAAGGATTAGTGGTGATTGCGGGGAAAGTTAATAAACGAAACAAAAGAAATAGGAAGTCTTTATCACAAGCGAATGCAATTAAACTTTGTGATATTTGTACTTCTGCCCAATATTAAACCTATTAATCCGATTGCTAAATCCTTCTGTGACAAGTGTCCTAACGGCCTCAACACCTTGTTCCAGTGCAGCATCCACCTGTTACAATGAATTTGATGTTATAATGAATTTGATGCTACAAACTAACAGCACAGACGTAAAAGAGGCTCATTCAAAATCGAAATGTACCTTTCACCCGTAAAACCAAGAACACGTTTCAAGTGTGTACATTTAACTAACAACACTATATCCGAAGAAGATAAACGGAGATCTAATTGTTTTGTAATTTAGTAATTTACTAATTCAATAACCCACAGGTTCAGCTTAATATAAAAGATCCACTCATTTTTTCAAATCAGCAAAGATTCTAGGGTTTATTACAATATACACTCTAGAATTTGAGGGTGCACTTTTGCAAGACAAACAAATATAAGTCTGTATTTTTAATACTAATAGATACATGGATCTTCTTTACATAGAATACCTTTTAGCGAACTTTTGCAACTAACCCATAATTAATAGAGATTTGTTTCTTTCAAGAGTAGGTTATATTCAATATTTTCGTATCGAAATACACTTTATTAATCCAGTCAAGTAGAGCACTAAATTTAAATAAATAGGTCTGGCTCCATGGAGTAACTTACCTGTTCCCTTTCCAAGGCACTGAACTTCTGAAGAAGAAAAGCTTTAATATCCATTGTACCAGGAGCGTTTCCAACACCTGGAGTATCATTATGAAGTATTTAATCTTGATTCTCACACCAGTGGGTATAATAATACAACAAAGAATTCAGTTAAGAAACCAACCTATGCAAAACCGAGGAAATTCTCGACGGCCATCTAAATGTTGCATTACGCTCTTCACCCTGTGGTATAGGAACAAAATTTGCCATTCTAATGAATTGGCTTTATTATATAATATTATAAGAATACAATAGTGTGTTGATTTGCAGTAAAATCCAACATTCATGGTCTGGCATAGAAATGGTATATACCATAAATTCATATTCAAGTTACGAATTATTTTAGTTGTGGTAGCTTGGACCTCAAGTTTCAGTTTGATTAGTCTAAATCCCAACTTCATGAAAGAAAACTTCATCTTCAACAAAAATTACACGCAAATCACAGAAATAGAAGCCAATCTATAAGTAGATAGCTGCCAGTCTATAAGGTGATAGCTTCAAGGTAAACTGTATAAGGTAAACCAGGCTGATTATCGTACTCATTGTGGATCAATTTACACAATCTATATTATGCATAAAACATTTAATATTCTTTCAAATCGCGTGCAATGGCTTTGACAAATCTTTACAATCTATATTCAGAGACAATACCCATTGTGATGGCCATGTCCTCCTTTTGGCTGAAGCCTCAAAACTCCATTTGGTAAGCTCATTTCATCATATACCTACAAGGGTCATTCAGTTGCCAGAATTTCTCATTCACAAGAGTATTGATTTACTCTCACAGGAAAAAAAAATAAAAAATAAAAAAATCATACGCAAAGTTGATATTCCATATAAATAGACATACAGTAAGAACTAACCAGTAGGATGTGGCGCAAGGGTACTTGATAATATGCTGCAAGTGGCCCAACCTGGTATGGCAAAAAAAAAGGAAAGAAAGAAAAGGAGAAAATGTTCTTTATGAGACACTTTGAGTTCAAGGAAAATCAATATTTGGATGAAATTATATGTGGTGAAGTGATAGCACAAAGAAAAATATCCATGTAGAAAAACATGTTTCTAAGAATTCTGGTTCTTCACATAACCAAGTTATAACTAAAAAGTCATAAATAACAAGACATAATCGATGGGTTCACTATGGACAAACTAGAGTCCAGAAAGATGCAAACGTCTCTGACATTAACGAATAGACCCAATATCAACGCACACCTACTCAGAGCAAACCATAGTTGGAGTTTAACATCTAAACAAATTTAGCATACCAAGCATTACAACTATGTTGGCAAATTTAATACTATCGATAAGTTAATCTCATTTGAATCGCCAGATAATCTACCACCTCTTTACATCGAGTATACCGTATACTGTAAATGCTCTAGTAGCAAATATTTTAATGTTTCATTGTCAAGTTGGAAGTCACCAGCATAAAGAAAGCTCATAATGGAGATGATTCAAACATATGTGAGCAGAAAATAGCTCACTCTCAACATACTCTGTCTTAGCGTGAAATATGTTTCATCAATTACCAAAACGAACATAGCGCTCAAATACAAAAATCATCATGCAACTAAAAAAAAAAAAAAAAAAAAAAAAGGAGGAAGACAAACTGATTCTCCACTGAAGTTCATATATGTCTGAGGTTTGGCCAACAAAACGGGGACTTGTCCTATGGAACCTGCACTGGTTGTGTTTAAACATGTTAGTAAATATCAATCAGTAAACTGGACCTCTCAAGTACATATGACGAAAAATGGCTTATAATCACCGAAATGTCATATACTACTCTTCTATGAAAGAAAAGGCCAAGTAATGAAGAAAAGGGACAGATTATCAAGAACCTATGCCAATCAATGATTTTGATTGTATAGTGTTCATCAAAATGCCTTCTTCTTGAGAGATACGATCTATCATTTCAAACCCAACCTAACAAAAAAAGTTGAACAGTAATCAGATGCACATCCCTTTGAAGGAATACAGAATAAGGAAAGAATATATGGTAGTGGCTCATTACGTTATGTCGAGTTCCATGATATTTGTTTCCAGGGTTGCCCAAGCCAACAATCAGCCATGGAGTGTACTCGATCTTCACTCCATTGGGACCCGCTGAGGCCGAGGCCTTATTAAGCCTTGTTGAAGCTAAACGCTTCTGATGAAAATTGATTCTAGGGTAACAGATGCTGCTGCTGCTGCTCGTAAAGGGACTCACTGGAGAAACTGCATACAACATTGACCTACTCTAAACAAACATCAGCTAACTTCACTTTTCCCCCCCAAAATATATGAAACGCCACACAATACAAAAATACACTCCCAACTGCTAAGAAGCACCAAATTCTATCAACGAAACTTAAAATTGGGCGTACATAGGAAAAGAAAAAGAAGCTAACAGAGGGAGAATAAGAAACCTCTTTTTTCTTTCTTTCTTATCTTTGAGAGTCGGTGGTCTAGTCACGACTGTACTGAGAGTTATCTTCCGTCGTTTGGTTGTTTACCGTCATTTGCAGCAGTGGAGTACCATTATCGGTTTGCAATATGATTCTTGTGCGTTTTCAGTCAAAAAAAAAAAATATATACCAAATTTAAACTTTTTCACAAAAAATTGTATATATCATTATTTTTTATACTTTTTACAATTAATAATTAAAACTTACTAAATATAAATCGATTTACAATAAATTTATTAATTAATTATTGACAGTACTCCCTAAACACTAAACCCTTAAAACCCGAAACCCAAAATCCTAAACTCTGAAACCTTGAACTCTAAACCTTGAAACCTTGAAGTGTAAAAATCCTAAACCATAAACCCTAAAACCAAAAACCCTACACGCCCTTTCAACCGTTTTTCGTCCGTCTCACAATTGATTTTTCACCTTCAAAGTTCGTAATATACATTATTTACTCTGGAAAAAGAATTTTTTTAAACCTTTTTAACCATTATTTTTGAATTTTTTTTTTTTTTTGAATTTTTCGGTGTACAGTTGTACACGCCCTTTCAGCCGTTTTTCAACCGTCTCGAAATTGACGTTTCACCATCAAAGTTTGTAATATACCTTAAATAATGGTGTATTGTGGCAAAAGAAATTTTGTTTGAGCTTTGTTAACCATTATTTACGAGTTTTTTCGTTATTGAACTTTTGCGCGTACCTTAGTAGACGCCCTTTAAGCATTTTTCATCCGTTTCAAAATTGAATTTTCATCGTCAAAGTTTTTAATATACATTAAATAATGATATAATGTGGCAAAAGAAATTTTTTGGGCCTTTTTAATCATTATTTGTGAGCTTTATCGTTTTTAGATTTTTTTCGTGTACCTTTGTACACGCCGTTTCAGTTGTTTTTCTTCCATTTCAAATTGAATTTTCATCATAAAAGTTTGTGATATACACTAAATAATTGTGTATTGTAGCAAAAAAATGAGCCCTTTTAATCATTATTCAAAGAGTTTTTTCGTTTTTGAATTTTTGTGTACAACTTAGTACACGTCTATTCAGTCGTTTTTATTCCATTTAAAAACTGAATTTTCACCATAAAAGTATGTAATATACATTAAATAATGGTGTGGTATGACAAAAGAATTTTTTTAGCATTTATAACAATTATTTACGAGTTTTTCGTTTCTGAATTTTTTTCATGTATCATAGTACACGTCCTTTAGCCATTTTTTTTCTTTTAAAAATTGAATTTTCACATTAATGTTTGTAATATACATTAAATAATAGTATTTTGTGGCAGAAGAAATTTTTAGAGTCTTTTTAACCATTATTTACGAGTATTTTTGTTTTTTCAATTTTTTTACCTTAGTACACGTCCTTCCAATCGTTTTTCTTTCGTTTAAAAATCAAACTATCGCCATCGATGTTTGTAATATACATTAAATAATGGTGTTCTGTGGCGAAATAAAATTGTTTGATCTTTTTAAACCATTATTTATGAGTTTTTCGATTTTGAATTTTCCCGTGTACTTTAGTACACGCCCTTTCAGTCATTTATCTTCGATTTCAAAATTAAAATTTCACCATCAAATTTTGTAGTATACATTAAATAAAGATCTATTGTGGAAAAATAATTTTTTTAGCCCTCTTAACACTATTTACGACCTTTTTGTCTTTGAATTTTTGCGTGTACCTTAATACATGTCCTTTCACTCGTTTTTCTTCCGTTTTAAAATTGTATTTTCACCAAAAAAGTTTTCAATATATACATTAAACAGTAATGTATTGTGTCAAAGAAATTTTTTTAGCATTTTAAACCTTTATTTACGAGTTTTTTTGTTTTTGAATTTTTGCGTGTACCTTAGTACTTGCCTTTTCAGTCGTTTTTGTTCCGTTGAAAAGTTGAACTTTTACCATATATTTTTTAATATACAATTAAATAATGTTGTACAGTGGCAAAAGAATTTTTTTTTTAGCATTTGTAACCTTTATTAACAAGTTTTTTCGTTTTTGAATATTTTCGTGTACCTTTCCTTAGTACATGTCATTTCAGCCATTTTTCTTCCATTTTAAAATTGAATTTTCATCATCAAAGTTTTAAATATACATTAAATAATAGTGTGTTGTGGCAAAATAATTTTTTTGAGTCTTTTTAATCATTATTACATGTTTTTCCGTTTTTAAATTTTAGCGTGTCTTAGTAATCAAAATTAAATATAAATCAAATAATGGTTTATTGTGGCAAAAGAAAAATATTTGAAACTTATTAACCATTATTTATGAGTTTTTTTGTTCTTTAATTTTTTTGTGTACACGTCCTTTTAGTCGATTTTCTTCCATTTAGAAATTAAATATTCATCATCAATGATTGTAATATAAATTAAATAATGGTGTCTTGGGGCAAAAAAAATGGTTTTAGCCTTTTTAACCATTATTAACGAGATTTTTTGTTTTTGAATTTTTTTCGTGTATCTTAGTACACACCCTTTTAGTCGATTTTCTTCTGTTTCAAAAATTAATTTTCACCATCGAAGTTTGTGATATACATTAATTAATGGTTTACTCTGGAAAAATAAATTTATTCTTAACACTTTTTAACCATTAATTATGAGTTTTCTCATTTTTGAATTTTGCATGTACCTTAATACACACCTTTATGTAATTTTTATTCCGTTTCAGAATCGAATTTTCATCAATGTTTGTACATTAAATAAGACCATTATAAATAATATCAAGATTAAAAGAACATATTTCACTTTGACATAAAATAGTGCTCGACATTTACAGTTTATGTTTATTCAAAATTATCTTTTCAAAAATGTCTGTAACATCTAGAGTGATGATTTCTAATATATATATCTCAATATATATTTCAGGAGAACAGGTTTCAGAAGACCGATATTTATAAATTTAATATATCGTATGCACCATGAGGATATCATCCTATATCCGTATAACCAACTTAAAAGAAAAGATTCAAAAATTATTCCCATAAATAATTAGTAAAACTACCTAAAAGAAATGGATTTGACCTTTCTTTCCATCTTACCCACTACAAATGAGAATACTCAAATACTAGTTTCTGAAATCTATATAACAGCACTGGACAAAAAGGCAATGTACATGACTTCAACCTCATAATATGACTCTTGAAAACCACTAATATCAAGCATCCATCTTTACATCAATTAATATTATTATGTTATACTTCTCAAATAATCTGAGATAAGCTTATAGCGAGGCTATCTCGATATGGATCGTGAGATATCAATTACTCATTAAACACAATGCTTTTTCGTGATGATGGAAAATTTGAAGCAATACAAAAATATATTTGAAAACAACGATGGACAACAAATTTATGCAAACAGCAAAGAAGAAGCTGATGGTCAAAAGCAACTCACACACTGCGGCGAGTACTTGGGTCGAAGCCAGAAGGCAAATTTCCACTTAAGATAGGCTCTATCTGCAAATTTCATGATAACTTAGTAAGCATTGATGTTTGAAGACAATATACAAAACTACTGAAGAATCTCAGAAAATCAATTGAGCCTTGAGTTGTCCCACACAAATATCAGCCACCCAACCAATTCAAGGAAATTGCTTAACGTGTCATCCATTGAGAAAATTTAGTGTTTAATATATAGTAAGTGGGCCCATACAATAAAGCATAAACCATAATTAAGGCATCTGAACACTTGGCATCAAATTCTGAACATTATATCATGATATCATCTAATATTTTGAAGGTTGGTGAAGGAGGTCAAAACTTAGTCTTCTATATCAATAATGTCATCTTAAAGCATCACACCTGAATAAAAATACCAATAAAGCCACCACTAACGGCAAAAGTAATATAGCCAAACAATCTTCCTTATTTCAAATAAAGATATATGCATATGTAAAATATTATGACATAAATGACAGCGGAAAAACAGCATAACATATGAAACTATGACGAAGAAAATGAATATTGATAGGCCGGACTCTTGACAGAAACAGAGGTTGGCAAAAATTACTGAAGCACGCAACTAATCAAAGCCGGCCCAAAACAAATTAAAACACCAGCACAAGGAAAAGAAGATTCCAGTATGGCTTACTTTTATTATTGTTTTGTAATTTAGAGAAACAACAAATAAAGCATTTTAACAAAGCAAATGAATTCATGCAATTTGTGTTTTCTACCAGATGCCAACCAAAGCACGCCTCTCAGGGGCTTATTTTCACAGTTTGTGTCAGAGTTGGTAACGAATTAAACTGCATTCGATTTGGTAACAAATGTCCATCAAACTTACCAACAGTTTAGTTGTCTTTGTCATAGCTAATTAGTTTATGTTCCCAATTTCCAAAATTTTTTATATATTATCAACGGAAAACAAAATGGAAGAAAGCTTTCAAACAAGAACCACAAAACATATAAGGCAATAAAAAAGCTAATACAAACTACAAGCATACCCAGACCTGAAGAAACACAGTAACAAATAGCTGGTGAAGTAAATTTAATAGGTTTCAAAATCGCACACCCATATTAGCATACAAACTTATAGCTAATTGGAAAAACGCAGAGTAGGAGAAAGGAATGTACTCACCGAAAATCGATGTCCTGAGCTCTCAAACTTTGGGTTTTCTCGATGACGATGGCTGGAGTGGAGGTTAATTGATGATGCCCACCCGAGGGGCGGAGAGCGGAGGTTGGGCGGCAGAGAGCGGAGGTCGCACAGCAAACAACGAGGGTCGAGCGGCGGACAGCAGTAGACAGGCGAAGAGTGCAGGTCGAGCAGCGGAGAGCGGAGGTCAAGCGGTTAAGGGTGGAGGTTGAGCGATTGCGGCGGAGGTGTAAGGAGGGGATGTGTGTTCGTGGAAGAACGGGGATGTGACGAAGATGTGTATTGTGTGGACTGTGTGTGTTTGGCAAAGTATTATTATATTTTTTCGGCAAAATTGCAATTAACATCGCTGACTTTATGACTTTTGCATTTTTGTCACCACTTTAGAACTTTGGCACTTCGATACCTAATATTTGGTCTTGCATTGACCAGATCACTGACCGATACAACAACATGTCTGGCCATTTAATCCAATGTGACACTGACGTGGAGGAAGTGTCTCAGGAAAAATAAACACCTCAGCTCGACGACATCATTTCATCCTAAAAAATATCTTATAAAATTAAATCTCTAACCTCAATTCATCAAAACCCTAAATTCATCCCCAAAACCTTCGACCTTCGACCCTCTCCCTCGACAAGAAATTGTTCTTTCAGCTCCAAAAAATCACTGCAATCTCTACCTTCGACCCTCCCTCCACACATGGCAAGTAGCTAGACCAACAGTGGAGCTTCGAAAAGAAGTGCAAGTGTGCAACCAACACACATGTCCATTGTTACCGTGGAATGGAGGCAGATTTTATGACCTCGCAAACCGATATATATAACCTCATTTACTTTGCTTGATAGGATAGGATAGGATGATGAAAGTTATCCCCGTAAAACTAACGTTTACTTCAAAGGATAGGGATAGGATGTAGCTTAGATGGCGTACATGTAGCAGCAAGGCCCATACGGTAATCATCTATAGTGCGATTATTCCATCGATGGGACCCCGAATTTTTTTATCCCTCTTTAAAAATGTCAATTTTGTCCATTTCTCATTTTAATCCCGTAATGTAAACATAGAACAATATGCTGACGTGTAAAGTTGGTTGGACTACTTTGTATAATCCTATCAAGCAAAGTAAATGAGACCCAAGTAATCAATTCATGGCATAACTATGAAATAGTTCAACTGACAAGTTGAAAAAATGGCGTTAGATAAGACAATTTGAACAACTGTTACAAGTGCTTTGACAGGAAAATTTTCACGTATTTTGGTACTCGCCTATTAAAATCCAGTATCAAACAATTACATCATATTTGGTCAATGCAGGCAGAGCAAAAATAAAAAAAAATACGAACGACGAAATAAGCCTACAGAAGAAGATTGCTTCGACTGTTGATACTCAAA